TGTCCATGTCCATTGATTAGGCCTATATGCTTGCATATAAGTCCTTTGGTTGATCTTTCCCCCTTACCCCCACCCTCCCCTACCTTCCCTCCAAGTCCCGACAGTCCAATCAATGCCTCTCCGTCTCTGGATCAGTCCTTGTTCATCAGCTTATGTTGTCCATTATATTCCACAAATGAGTGAGATCCTGTGGTATTTATCCGCTCTCCAGTTCCATCCATGCTGTGGCAAATGGTAAGAGTTCCTTTTTCTTCTTCCTCTTCTTAAAGAATACCTTTCAGCATTTCATATAATGCTGGTTTGGTGGTGATGAACTCCTTTAGCTTTTTCTTATCCGTGAAGCTCTTTATCTGACCTTCTATTCTGAATGATAGCTTTGCTGGATAAAGTAATCTTGGTTGCAGGTTCTTGCTATTCATCACTTTGAATATTTCTTGCCAGTCTCTTCTGGCCTGCATGGTTTCTGTTGAGAAATCAGCTGACAGTCGTATGGGTACTCCCTTGTAGGTAACTGACTGTCTTTCTCTTGCTGCTTTTAAGATTCTCTCTTTATCTTTTGCTCTTGGCATTTTAATTATGATGTGTCTTGGTGTGGTCCTCCTTGAATTCCTTTTGTTTGGGGTTCTCTGCGCTTCCTGGACTTGTAAGTCCATTTCTTTCACCAGGTAGGGGAAGTTTTCTGTCATTATTTCTTCAAAAAGGTTTTCAATATCTTGCCCTCTCTCTTCTTCTGGTACCCCTATAATTCTGATGTTGGTACGCTTGAAGTTGTCCCAGAGGTTCCTTACACTATCTTCATATTTTTGGAATCTCTTTTCTTTTTTCTTTTTCGGTTGGGTATTTTTTGTTTCTTTGTATTTCAAATCTTTGACTTGATTCTTGGGATCCTCTTTTCTGCTGCTGGATCTCTGTAAATTATTCTTTATTTCAGTCAGTGTATGCTTAATTTCTAGTTGGTCCTTTTTCATGTCCTCCATGGTCTCCCTATACTTATTGAGGGATTCATTAAATTTATCGGCGGTTTCCATAAAATTCTTGAAAAACCTTATAAACGTGGCCTTGAACTCTATATCCAATCGTTTGCTTTCCTCCATTTCTGCCATTTGTGACCTGTTTCTTTGTCTCCGCATTTTGGCAGCTTCCCTGTGTTGATAGAGTGGCCCTGTGTGCCAGGTGTCCTGTAGGGCCCAGTAGCTCAGCCTCCCCAGTTACCTGGGGTGGACACTCTTGGTGCACTCTTGGTGCCTTGGTTGTTGTAGAATCACTGGGAGGAATTGACCTCCAGGCCAATTGACTGTGAGAATCAGCTGTGTCTAAAGTGGGAGAACTTCTGTGCTGAAGACACCCTTCTGGGGCAAGACTTGCTTCAGTGGGGCTTTGGTGCTCACTGAGTCTGCTCCCTGAGTGCGTCCCTTATGGAGCTGAGGAGTTGCAGTCTGGATGGACCCCCTCTGACCACTGGGTACAGTGGCTCCTGGATCTAAGGAGGTGCTAATTCAGCCTCTGCCTGAGGCCACACAGCAGGAGCCACGAAGAGGCTCAGCTGTGAAGCAATGCAAGCCGCTGCGGGGCCTTGGGCCTTCTCTTGGAAGTTCAGGGTCTGCCTGGTTCGGCTGCAGTTAGGTACATTCACATGCAAAAGCCTCTGCCGCAGCCTGGGTGGGGCGGGGTCTCAGGGAGTCAAAGGGCGGAGAAAGCAGCTATGGCCGATTCTCCGCCCGGAATCGCGCGTCTCAGTGTCCCGGTAACGGCTGCAAGCACCTCTGAGGGAAAGCCTCCCTCAAGTTCGCCCGCTGCCAGACAGACCAGCCTCTCCCCGTATGAGTCCTGGGTCCCCAGAGACTTCCCGGAACCGGAGTTCAGAGCAGTCAGGAGCTTGTGACTCAAAAAGACAGCCGCGTCCTCAGGTGCTACCCCCTTTCCTCGCGCGCGCTCACGCGAGCCGCCGTACCTCTGCACTTCACCTCCGCAGCGCCTCTGGCTCTCAGCGTGCTTTTCTTTCCTTCTAATTGTAGAATTTACACTCAGCCAGCCTTCCTGTTGTTCTGGATGATGTTTGCTCAGTCCTTTGCGGTAATTTTCAATTGTTGTGTAAGGCGACAATTTCCCGGTGTTTACCTATGCCGCCATCTTAGTTGCTCCTCTAACCAACATTTCTTATTGGAGGGTCATGTTTTCTCCTGGTATGGAAATGATCCTGCCTGAAAGTAAAAGTGTATGGACATGTATACAAAATACTCATGCTGATGTGATTGCAGTTAGCATTGTTCATTCAACAGACTCATAGCACAGAATTATAACTTAGAGATAAAGTCCTTTCTCCTCATTTAACAGATAATTTAAAGCAGTAATAATTACTACTATTTATCAAGTGCCCACTGTTTTTATTATGCACATATTGCCCCAAAGTTTACACTACAGCCATTCTAAAAGACATACACCATTTTGAATATGTTATATTCCAGTTGCAAATGAAGACAAACACACACATTAGATTGCTGTTTGTAAAGCTTGTATCAACCTAAGTATCCCTCACTAGGATTCGAAATGTGTACATAAAATGAAGTAAATGCAGACAATGAATACTGGCAGTAGTCAAAAGTTAGACAATTTGAATGGGGCGACATGAATTTACCCCCCAAAAATAAATCTTTGATTAAAATAGAATAAACCAAATGAGATATGTAACCCATTAGCATTAAAGTAAATTAATACCTACAAAATAGTACCATAATATTTTTAAAAATCTATACAGATAACTAAAATTATAAGAGGGTAGTTGATTACATATACAAAAGTAAGTACTAATAGAGCAAGGGAAAAGAACTGGAGAGAGAATCATGAGTCAAAAGGAAAATTATGAAATAATATAAAATTAAAAAGAGGCCTGATTGGATGGATGGTCACAGTGTGCAATAAAATGGGGAGTCTGATCAACTCAATTCTGAACACCTTTAAGTCCTAAAAAAAAGAGAAGAAGAATATAATAGAAATGTAAGCGTCTCACTATTCCCCAAATTCTATTATAGGAAAAATAATTTCTTTATATATAATAAGACAAATTTTAGTACATGTGTTTTGAAACAAGTTTTATTTCTAGTCTTCATGATCAAACCTATATAATACATCACTCTTACAACACAGAGTATTGTAGTCCTTAAATTTAATTTTTAAAAATTCTACAAAACACTACAAAAAAAAATCAGCATAGGAGAATAAAAACCAGAATGGCAAATGCCACTTTCTACAAAACCAGGAGAAATCTGTGACCATGAACTGAAATATGTGAGGATGGTTGCTAAAAGCAAGAAATATTAAGGGTGCTGAATGAAGATGTGAAAACAATGCCTGTGGCTGTGAATCTCTGGCAATACCTTAGTTAAAAGCTTGCTTATGTAGGAAAAATTAACCTACCCTTGTTTAGATCAATAGAAACAGGAAGTGAAGGCAGGTGGAAACATTTCTTGATAACAAGCATAAACAGGTAAAAAGAGAAGAATGAGAAATTACATAAACACAGACATTTGTTGAAAGTAGTATGTCAAGCAGAGAATGGAAGAGAGACTGTTGTAAACTGACTGACAGATACCAGTTTTTACTTACTGGGGAGCAATAAAGTCTGGAAGAAGTCACATGCACAACTCTTCTTGGCAAGTCAGGAATACTGTCCTGGCCTATCCTCCACTCAAAACTCCAGCAAATAAATAAATATTTATTTATTTCCAAAATAAAATAAGTAATAAAGAAAAAGAAAAAAGTCATCACCACGGGATCTATGTAAAAAATAGTATAAGAAAAAGAAGAAAAAAAATTGTTTTTCAAATATATTTTATTGATTTTTTACAGAGAGAAAGGGAGAGGGATAGTCAGAAACATCGATGAGAGAGAAACATCGATCAGCTGCCTCCTGCACACTCCCCACTGGGGATGTGCCCGCAACCAAGGTGCATGCCCTTGACCGGAATTGAACCTGGGACCTCTCAGTCTGCAGGCCGATGCTCTATCCACTGAGCGAAACCGGTTACAGTGAAAAAAATGTTTAAGATATTGACAGCCTGGCCATCATGGCTCAGTGGTTGAGTATCACCCTAAGAATTAGGAGGTCATGGTTCAATTCCTAGTCAGGGGGTGTGCAGGAGGAAGCCAATCAATGATTCTCTCTCATCATTGATCTCTCTCTCTCTCTCTCTCTCTCTCTCTCTCTCTCTCTCTCTCTCCCTTCCTCTCTGAAATCAATGAAAACATATTTTTTAAAAGCAAAATTAAATTTCAAAAAACAAAATGGTTGAAACTGATTGGAGAAAAAAGGTTATGTTCAAGAAAAAGCACAAAAATAATATATAACAATTTAATTAAAGGAAACCTTCCAGGAATAAGACTTGAACCTACAGACAGAAAAAGGACACCATATCCCAGGAAAATATGATGCAGCATAATTCTATGAAACAGGTTCAATTGCAGACAACACTAAACACTCTAGCTCTTTTAAGAAGAATTTAATACATGGGGATTATATGCTTACAAAAAAGTTAAAAGGACTAGATGAGTAGGCTGAACTTGCAGAGATAACTTCCAGAATACCACCATAAACTAGCCCATCAGCGAGTCTGCAACTTCTACCATGATCAAGAAACAGAAATTAGCCGAAACCGGTTTGGCTCAGTGGATGGAGCATCGGCCTGCGGACTGAGGGGTCCCAGGTTCGATTCCGGTCAAGGGCATGTACCTGGGTTGCGGGCACATCCCCAGTGGGAGATGTGCAGGAGGCAGCTGATCGATGTTTCTCTCTCATCGATGTTTCTAACTCTCTGTCTCTCTCCCTTCCTCTCTGTAAAAAATCAATAAAATATATTTAAAAAAAAAAAAAAGAAAGAAATAAACGGAAATCAGAAAGAAGCTGCCTGGTGTACAGACACCAGTCTGCAGACTACCTTTGCCCAGATCCAAAGATTGGGAAGCTTCTTAGTCTGTTTGGGCTGCCATAACAAAAACACAGTAGACTAGCTGACTTAAGTAACAAACATTTATTTCGTGGTGAGCTGAAAGCAAACCCCAGCTTAGGAAACAGGGTCATTCTTCATGTGGGTGACTCTGTGCTGAAAGTATGGGAACAATCAGAAAAACAAACAAACAAACAAAAAAAAAAACCATTTATTTCTTATAATTGCGAAAACTAAGATGTCGGAAATTGAGGTACCGGCAGATTCCAAGTCTCTTGGGAGCTCGATTCCTTTATCCTAGACAGTAGTCGTTCTGCTACGTTTTCACATGATGGGAAGATCAAGAGAGCTCTCTAGAGCAAGCATGTCAAAGTCGTGATGGCCCACAATGAATATTTTTGTGGCCCAGCCAATATAAATTGTATGTAAGAAACGTTTTAATAAAAATTTCGTAACTTAATTTTTACAATATCCTGTTATGCATAACTAGAGGCCCGGTGCATGAAATTTGTGCATGGGGGGGGGGGGGGTCCCTCAGCCCAGCCTGCACTCTCTCCAATCTTCTGGCTCCCAACTACTCGCCTGCCTGCCTGATTGCCCCTAACCACTCCCCTGCCAGCCTGATCTATGCCTAACTGCTCCCCTGCTGGCCCAATTACCCCTAACTGCCCTCCCCTGCCAGCCTGGTCACACCTAACTGTCCTCCCCTGCTGGCCCGGTTGCCCATAACTGCCCTCCCCTGCCAGCCTGGTCACCCCTAACTTCCCTCTCTTGCCAGCCCAATTGCCCCTCACTGCCCTCCCCTGCTGGCCTGGTCGCCCCCAACCGCCCTCCCCTGTAGACCTGTTTCCCCCCAAATGCCCTCCCCTGCAGGCCTGGCTCCACCCTGTGAAGAGCAGCTACAGTGTTTGGACAGGTTCAAGCCTTGGACTAATAAGAGGGCACAGTCCTCTCATGGCCACGTGCAAGTCCCAGCTTGGAGGGCAGAGCCCTCACAGCACAATTATAGCCATCAGCTGTAGTTGTAAGCTTGAACCTATGGCCCGAACACGTGGCCCCATGTGCCTGAGTGATGTGGGCTTGATAGAGTTCAGGTGAATGTAATTGAGTAGGATTGAAACCCACGAGAATGCTGTAAACATCTTGACCACACCCTTACTTTGCCTTGTGGAATCTGTCTATAAAATAAAGACATGGCTTGTAGTCCATGGCACTGTCTCTCCATCTGGGAGCAGCGTTCCACCCAGAACCAGCTCACTCTCTTGTCTGTCTTTTCTTCATCCTTCACCGCCCCCACTCAGGGTCACTGAACCTGGCTGAGCTGGTGTGGCACATAAGGCACCCTGGGACTGAGTAAGCCATGGCCGTGCCGGCTCGCCACACCCCCCAACTGCCCTCTCCTGCAGGCCTGGTCCCCCCCAACTGCCCTTCCCTGCTGGCCATCTTGTGGCAGCCACCTTGTGTCCACATGGGGGCAGCCATCTTTGTGTGTTGGAGTGATGGTCAATTTGCATATTACTCTTTTATTAGATAGTATTATTAATAATGAACTATAATGTCCGCTAATGACTGATTACTATAATCATGTTGCATTCACTTCCCTTACACACCTTACACACAGGCGCACCATTTCTATTGAATATTTTAGCAGCCGATTGCCACGTCATTAGTCTTGTACTGACTTGTTTGGTGTGCACAACAGGAAATATTTCACTTTCAGAGAACAAGAAAAATAGGTTTATTTGTGCTACGCTTATTAATTTGTGCAGTTATTCAGTGTCTGGTAAGTTAATATTCAAGAAAAAATATTTTTTATTAAAATGTTCTATTATTTTATGTTAATAACTACTCATTTATTTCAGCCCTTTGTATTCAGTATGTCTCTATTGAAATAAACCTACACTTCTATGAAACTTGAAGCTTTTGGGTTTTGTTGCAGCCCACATAAACTTAAACCTTGTTTATTTGGCCCTTGTTAGCCTTTGAGTTTGGCATGCTTCCTCTAGAGCAGGGGTGGGCAAACTTTTTGACTCGAGGGCCACAATGGGTTCTTAAACTGGACCGGAGGGCCGGAACAAAAGCATGAATGGAGTGTTTGTGTGAACTAATATAAATTCAAAGTAAACATCATTACATAAAAGGGCACGGTCTTTTTTTTTTTTTAGTTTTATTCATTTCAAACAAGCCGGATCCGGCCCATGGGCCGTAGTTTGCCCACGGCTGCTCTATTAGTAAGGGCACTATTTCCATTTACGAGGGATTCACCCTAACGACCTAATCACCTCACCAAAGTCCCACCTTCAAATACTGTCATATTGGGGATTAGATTTCAACAAATGAATTTTGAGGGCACACCTAAATTCTGCCCATAAGAGGGAGTCGACTGTTGGCCCTCTTATCACAAAGAGTTATCCATGATCCATGCCAGTCACGTCCACAGTTTCTTGACACTAATAAATACAGGTGCCAGACACTGACATGTCTGGTACTGCTGCCACAGACTAAAGCAAATGCCCACACTATTACTACTAGGTTTTCTAGTGAAAACAGCAGCAGAAAAGAAGCTTTGCCCTTGGCCCTCTTCCACCTTTCAAATCTTAGTTGGTTACTTGATGGCAGCTAAATCACATGCAGAGCCTGAGCTTTAAGAATTCTAGGGTATTCAATCTTTAGTAGATGGAATGCTTAAAAGAAGTTGAAATGGAGTTGAATAAAGTATCTTCAACATCTGCCTCATTGATTAACATGATAAATGTCTTCATGAAATTATTGGATGTCAAAGTTCAATAAAAAAAGATTCTTTTAAGCATCTTTTAAGCATTCAGGATACAGATCAAATTACCTAAAAGGAGAAAAATATCAGACTGTCCAAAAACAACATTAACAACATTAAAAGCTAAAAGATAAAGGAGCAATGCATTCCTTGAGAAAAGATAATGTGATCCAACTATTTTATTCCCAGCCTAACTTTGGTTCAAGTAAAAGGCAATAGGTAAACATCTTTAACATGCAAGAACTCAAGAAATATAGTTCCCATGAGTCTTTCTTGAAGAAAGTACTAGAGAACTTCAACCAATCAAAAGATGAATGGAGAAATAATAACAAAAGCATTGCCAATAAAAATTGAATCAATTTAGCTGTAGATCAAGAATAAAACAAGTACGAGAATTTATGGTTTAAGAAAAGAATGGAAATACATTAAACCTTGACAATGAAGAAAAATATATAATTAGTATAAATTACAGTGAAGGAGAAGAGATAGAAAGTAATACAAGTGTACTTTCCTCATTTTTTAATAAACAGGGATCAAAAGATAAAGATGACAAGTCCAAGTAATCATGGTAAAAGCACAGTTAAAAGTATAAAGGAAAAAATATTAAAATAATATATTTGACCAAAAGCAGATATTAGAAGAAAGGAAGAAGGGGATGTAGTATGTAGATACTATCAAAATAAAGAGAATTAAATGTAAACTAGTTATAAAAGTAACCAATAGAAAAACAGCCATTAAAAAAAAATCCAAAGAATACTTCACATTATTGGTTAATGGTGTAAGAAGGGAAAAAAATTCAGTTGATACAAAGTGAGGAATTTCCAGACTAATAGAAGATGGGAAGATATGAAGGAGAGAAAAAATCAATTCAAAATGAGGTTAAAAATGATTTAAAAAATTTTTAAATACAAGGAAAGTGTAACAAATAGAGGATGCAAAATTAAATTATAAAAAATGAATCTAAATATATCTATAAGTAGATTAAGCCTTAGTGAAAATAAAGATTATTAGACTAGATCTTTAAAAAATATTAACCTATATGCTTTTTGTTAACACAAATATACCCAAAACCTAAGGATATAGATAGGACAGCTTGACAGTAAAATTTTAGAAGATGATGTACTAAGAAAATACTAACAAAATAAAATTTCTCTTATTATATTGCAAATCAGTTTAGAAATCAGTAACAAAAATAGAATTAGAAGAAAACTTGTATGTTTGGAAATTCTAAAAGCCCAAATCCACATAACTTTTGGTTAGAAAATAAATTATAATGGAAATTAGAAAATATTTATGATGTGCAGTATGGGCATATTCCAGATTAAAATTATGACAATGCAGAAATTAGAGAGCAATTTAAAGGCTTAAGAACAACTATAATAATAAAAGCACAATATGCTAATTAGACCAGACAGTCGAATGACCTTCCGGACGAAGCTGGGGCGGTGGACGCTGAGGCAGAGGCAGTTAGGGGAGATCAGGAAGGTAGGTAGAGTGCTTAGGAGCAATCAGGCATGCAGGCTGAGGCTGTTAGGAGTGATCAGGCAAGCAGGCAGAGTGGTTAGGAGCAATCAGGCCAGCAGTTAAGAACCAAAGTTCCCGGATTGTGAGAGGGTATAGGCTGGGCTGAGGGACCCCCCCCCTCACCACCACCACTGTGCAAGAATTTTGTTCACGGGGCTTCGAGTATATTAGAAAGGAAAATGTAAAATTTAATTATCTAAATAAGCATCAAATTTAATAATTTATGAAAGAATAGAATAAATCAAAGGCAAGTAGACTAAGTAAGTTATAAAGATAATAAATTAATAAAAAATAAAAGCAAACATACAAATATAAAGACTAATTTAACCCAAAGTAGTTCTTGAATACTTAGTACGAGTCAGGCACTACTCATGGTAGGACTTGGGGAAGTAGCAATAATCAAATTAAGCCAAAATCCCTTCTCCCATGTAGTTTATAGTTTAATGGTTTGAAATATATAAAGTGTAAATAACTTTAGATTTATAGGAAAGTTGCAAAGATGGTATGGAGAGTTCCTATACAGTCCTCAGCAAGTTTCCCCAATTGTTAACATCTTACATAACCATGGTGCATTTGTCAAAACTAAGAAACTGTCATTAATACTTACTATTCATACACCATAGATTTTATTTGGAATTCACCTAATTTTTTCATTACTGTACTCTTTTTTGTTGATTGATTTATCATAGATTCCAATCTTCTCTTGAAAGATATCATTTCTTCCTCTCTTTCTTGAATATATTAATCATAGTTACTTAAAAGTACATGTCTAATAAATTTAATTTCTGAGTCATTTATGGGTCTGTTTTTATTGTTTATTTCTTCTCTTGGTTTTTAATTATTTGATCTTGTTTCTTGACATTCTTGGTGATTTATAAT